TGTATGTCCTATCCATTTCAATCGTCTCTTCCTAATTTCCTCTTCAGCTGGAAGCTGGTTTGTTCTCTCCCACAAAAGGCTGTTGCTGATGGCATCCGGCCAATGGACGTTGAGTAAATTGCGTAGACAGCTATTTATAAATACTTATACCTTCTTGATGGTGGTTTTTGTATTTCTCCAAGTTTCAGCTTCGTACAGTAGAACTACCTTGACATTCGAATTGAAGATTCTCACTTTGATATTGGTTGAAATTTGTTTTGAGTTCCATATGTTCTTCAATTGAAGGAAGCCGACCATTGCTTTGCAAATCCTCGCCTTTACGTCTGCATCTGAACCTTCTTGTTCATCGATGATGCTTCCCAGGTATGTGAAGGATTCTACATCTTCCAGAGTTTCGCCATCAAGAGTGATTGGATTGCTGTTATCCGCTTTGAATTTGAGGACCTTGGTTTTCCCTTTGTGTATGCTGAGGCCTACTGGTGCGGAGACTGCTGCTACACTGGCTGTCTTTATCTGCATTTGTTCGTGTGTATGAGATAGGGGGGCTAGGTGATCTGCGAAGTCCAAATCGTCCAATTGATTCTGAGCTGTCCATTGTATTCCGTGTTTTCCTTCAGATGTCGAGGTCTTCATAATCCAGTCGACCACCAGAAGAAAGAGGAAGGGAGAGAGTATACAGCCTTGTCTTACTCCAGTCCTTACTTGGAATGCATCTGTCAGCTGTCCTCCATGCACGATCTTGCACTGTAGTCCGTCGTATGAGTTCCGGATAATCTTGACAATCTTCTGAGGAACTCCGTAGTGTCAAAAATATTTCCATAACGTTCTCCTGTCTACACTGTCAAATGCCTTCTCATAATCAATGAAGTTGATGTATAGTGACGAGTTTCACTCAACTGATTGTTCAACGACGATCCGTAGTGTTGCAATTTGGTCTGTGCACGATCGATCCTTACGGAATTCAGCTTGTTGATCTCGAAGTTTGTCGTCTACTGCATCTTTCATCCGGTTCAGCAACACTCTGTTAGAGAATTTCCCTGGTACTGACAGTAGTGTCATAAATCTGATTTTCGCATTTGCTCAGATCTCCTTTCTTTGGAATCTTGATGAGGTGGCCTTTTTTCCATTTCATCGGCATTTGTTCATCCTCCCAAATCTTCCTGAATAGAAGGTGAGGCGTTTTTGTAGTTAATTCGATGTCTGACTTCAGTGCTCCAGCTAGTATGTTGTCGGGTCGTGTTGTTATCCCGTTCTTGATTTGTCTGATGGCCATTCTGATTTCTTTCTTCGTTGGTGGGTTGATGTCTATGGGAAGATCTGTGTGTGCTGCTTCGATGTCCACAACTAGGTGATGATCCAAAGCTATGTCACCTCCTCTCCTGGTTCTTACATCTTCTATTGTCCTTCGGAAATTTAATTGATGCAAATATGATCTTTCTGGTTCTCTGTGGGGTGATTCGGTGAAATCCATGTAGCCTTGTGTATACGCTGTGGAAATATTGTGCCTCCTATGACCAACTTGTTGAATGCACACAGATTTGCAAATCGTTCCCCACTTTCGTTTTTCTCTCCCAGTCCATGTCGTCCCATGATATCTTCATATTCGGTGTTGTCTATTTCGACTTTGACGTTTAGATCTCCCATCAGAATGATGAGGTCCTTTCTTGGGAACTTCTCTATGCTTGATTGCAACCTCGCATAGAATTGATCTTTAATGTCGTCGTTGCTATCATTGGTGGGTGCATAACATTGGATAATATTCTTTAAGATCCCCTCCTTCTTTGTTTTGAATGATGCTTTGATGATTCTGGATCCGTGAGATTCCCATCCTACAAGTGCATTTCGTGCTACTTTGGACAGCATACGAGCGTTTCCCTGAGTGTGTGGAGCATTTTCCTCTTCGTGACCGGGGTATAGCAGCATCTCTCCCGTAGCTAGCCTTTTCTGTCCAGCTTGGATTCAGTGGGTTTCGCTGATTCCCAGTACTGCCAAGTTGTATCTCCTCATTTCTGTTGCTATTTGACTGGACTTCCCGGTCTCTCACATTGTTCGGAGGTTCCATGTACCTATAAAATTTTTGCTCTGGTTATGAGAACGGGCATCGGCCTCGTGGCTTTCGAAGGGCAGAGTTAACATGATTTGAATTATTTTTCCGGTAAGCGTTTTTTAGCGAGTTAGTTTTCTACGGGATGGGGATGCTAACCCCATGCCCAACCCTCCTCCTTTATCCGGGCTTGGGACTGGCAGTAACTCTAGAAGAGCTACAGGCAGATTACCAATAAGAGAGAAGATGATCAATTAAGGTCGTAAATATCAACTGGAAGATTCAAGTAAAACTATAACAAGTGAATTAAAACTTCACCTCATTGTACAAGCAACTGACTATCAGAACTCAGTAGATAAGTGGATAACGCGATAATGTTTGAAGCGAACGATACTGAGTTTAATTAACGGGTTGAACATCAACTCTGAGATGGAGGTACGTCCAGATGACCAGTCCTGAATAGAACAAAACGCGCGTCCTAGATTCCAGTACTAGCCACTATACATCTTTTCTTAAATATTGTCTATTCTATTTATAAACTGTACTCTTATTCTTAACAAAGTGTGCCGCAGCATATATGAATGTACATATTTCGTCTACACCATAATATTCATTCTCATTTACAGTCTGGTTGTATGGCGTTAGCATTAGGAATTTGGTATATGCAATTATATGTTCTTCTAAAAATTGCAGCTTTTGGAATTAGTCTGGTGTTATTCATATGTGCAGTGTTGATTGGTGCAGCGATTAAAACAAATTTGGCGGACCAAATAAAAAGTATTCTAATATCTATTACATCGATATTTATTACGTTTATATTAGCTGCAATTGCATTGGTCTTTTCAGGAATCAAGGTATCCTAATTATTCGATGCATAAATTACGTATTTGTGGTTGAATCTAGTTTTCTTTTAAACGAAAAACTGAACACACTCATAATCCATATCAGAAGAGTTTTTAGCGAGACCATGATTTGTGAACGACCTTTGAACGAATCTTAAGTGGTCTTGACAAATATTAGCCAATCAGCAAACACAAAGTATAGGTTGAAAATATATTATACAAAACCAAAGAAATAAAGTGGATACACTTCTTATACGTGGTTGGAAAAATGTTCAGAGGTTCTAAAATCGCAATGCATGCAGTAGAGGGAATCATTCATATAGCTTCATAACATTCGGCCTCTGGAGCCATAATAAGGTCTCAAAAAGTCTATCAACCTCGGCCGCACAGCTTCAATATTGTTTGTGTGAACTCCGATTGTTGGCTACACAAAATGCCACTTGTGAATGACGACACGATGCACGTAACTAAGCATATGTAGGAGTCTGTATGCTCTTCAATCATCCACATGTATTGTGCTACCTGGCCGCATCCAGTGTTCCTGGTGTCTTTATTATCCAGTTCTCAATAATTGTCATAATTTGCCTCAGTTAGTAATTATATATAAAGGTTTTTCATCACGAACTGACACCAGCCATAATGTCAGAAACCTGTTTAGCCAAATGCATGGAAGACTTTTGCGCGAAATTCCGAGATCTGTTTTCCTATACCTGATTGATTTGTCCAGAAATTATAGTCTAGCTGTTTTATTTGATACAGCCCCTCATTTATAACGTTTTTCACAAAATTCCTTGTAAACTGATAGTATGTTAGCATTAAGCACTGAATTTAGCGCCGTGACTTTGAAATCTCTCGAACACTTCTGATTACCTCGCCCATAAATTAAAGTCTCGCCGAGGTTTTGGGGATATTATACTAAGTTTAAGGATTGAGATCATGAGCTAGGCCACCATGGAAAACGTGGAAGCACTGGACTCACTGGAGACAATGGTGGATGTATCGCTCAATTTCGTGGATTGTTTGAAGTTAAACATTAACACCACTGTATGCCGGCTGATTTAATAATCTAGTGGGTTCTGGGTTCGAATCGTGCGATGCGGGATCTTGAATGCGCACTGCTGAGTAGTCTCACAATATTTATAATCATTGATTGATTCAATGGGACTATTAAAACATATACCATTAGTCAGTTAATTCATAACCGACTACTAAACTTCAATGAACTTTAGCAATCAAACTGTGAGTAAAATCGTATGTTAGGAATATTTAATTAACCATACTTCCTGCAACATGTTTTCAATGGGATGGGGCTGCCGATCCCGTACTCAAGCCTCTTTCTTTATCCGGGCTGAGACCGGAAGTAACTCTGGAAGAGCTACAAGTGGAGTCGTGTTTCTCCACGAGGAGTAACAGGTGTAAGTAAGTAAGTAAATGAGTAAGTATACTTCGTGCATCAAATTATTACTTGGACAAATAAACACAGGAAGTATGTGTTTGAATTAACTTGTAGATATTCCAGCTATATATTAGAAATGTTGATTATTTAAAAACATTTTCGAACATTTCTGTAGTTCTGTAATGGACGAGAGCATCATTGGTGACAATTGAATGTATTTAAACACTAAATCACTAGTCAGTTCTTCGAATCTCACATGCGGATTTTCCTTGTATAATGTTGAGTAATCCCATACTGAGATGAAACGTCGGTCCAGTAATCCCAGGTTTTCAAATGGTAGTCTAGCTAAGATCAACTCGTCAACTCAACATTGAAAATTTGTTAATTAGTCTAATGTAAATTTCGCTAATAGTTTAATTTTGTTTTGTAGGTAATAGCTCTGGCTTTCTATATAGCTGCAGTAACATTTTCATTCATTGTAAGTTACATTTATTTATAGTTGATATAGTTATGTATAATTGGCTTATAGGAAACATAATCTATTCATCTTTCGTATTTCTGTAGTGCATGTAAATTGTATATGTCAGTCAGTTAGTCAGTCAGTCAGTAACGACGTCGAACTTTGTACCTACGTATATCAGTTCGAATTGCCATGTTGCTAAGTAATGACGTTTTTTCACGGACCCATCAATGTTAGACCACCATTGAAAACCTGTATGCACTGTATCAAAATCACAATCAAATATTGGTAATTATCATGTGCTCACTTGCAACTATCTTCGAGAGGTGATTCTTGGAGCTCTAGTGAGAAACTATGATCAATGTAGTTCAACGGTATCGAATTTGACGCAGTTACCCGCCAAAGAAAATCGAAGACGGTCGCGCAATTTGGTGGGTTGGTTGAAATTCAACGTAGTTGGATGCCAGCTGAATGGCCTGGGGGTTAAGTGTTCGCCCGTGAGGTTGAAGGCACTTAGTTTGAGTCCCGCATACGGGATCGTCGATGCGCACTACTGAGAAGTCCCATGCTATGACGAGACTACCGTCTTGTGCTTCTAGGTTTCCAATGGTGGCCAAACATCGATTGATTCGTGATATCAATTATAGCTCGACAAACTCTGTAACTCTGCAATGATAAATTTAAAAATTGTTAAAATTACAGAACAATGCAAAAGTTATTATCCACAGCGTTACTGACGTTCAAAAGTGTGTATATTGCTGTAGAAATTTCGAGGAGAAGGAATGAAATGTATTCCATATATATGTGTCAACTCTGTCATAGACAATTATTTGCAGTTCTTTCCGGTTGTTATTCATCCATTTCATGTCTACTTGCAATTTCCAACGCAATGTGTACCTTCGTTTACCTCGCTTACTTTTCCAACTTACCTTTGTTTTGTGATTCAGTTTGATGATTTCCGAAATGTACGTCTATCCACTTCCAACATTTTTTTGTTAATTTCATATTCAGCTGGAAGTTAGTTTGTCTTCTCCGAAATTAGGCGGCTTTTGCTGATGGTATTCGGCCAACGGATATCGAGTATCTAGTGTAGACAATCGTTTATAAATATTCGTACTTTTTTGATAATGGTTGTGGTAGTTCTATTCGTTTCAGCTCCATACAGTGAAAATATCTTAAGTATGAGTTTTGAGGATAAAATATCTATTATTTGAATTAAGAAAAGTGTTTCGATGTACTGTCCTCGTACAAGCCTTAGGCTGTGGACCTTGTAACGTATTTTACACATAGTGATATTGTTCAATCATCTGACTGTTGAAAAATCATAATATCTATTACTATATCCAAATTTAATAATGTAATACATTCAAATCTTTAGATAAACGAATACTTGTAATTTCATAAACCAAGATGGATAGTGGCTAGCAGTGGAATACAGTTTGGTGCGCGTTTTGTCATATTTGAGACCCATCAACTAGATGTATCTGAATCTCAGAATTGATGTTCATTCTGTGACTCGAATACCAGTACCATTCGTTTCAAACACCATCACGTTTTCTACTTAGCTACTGAGTTCTGATAGCCAGTTGTGGTAAGTCGTGTAGGTTGAACTTTATATACGAATCCTAAGCTATTCCGTAACCCGCAAACTAGAACTACACAGCGACTTGAACTCCAGAAAGAAGACACAAGCATGAGAGAAAACACTTTATCCCAAGGTTCATTCTAGCACAGAAAATCAAGGGTATTTATATTTCAGCCAATCCGTTAACGTCATATTATGCTACCGACCAATGGTAGCACGCCACTCTGCAATCCTCGAACGTTCCATTATACTCTGATTGAGTAGGGCCCTTCGGCTCCTTTCTGGGCCTCTGGAGGCTCCGTTGAAGTTCTCCGGAAGCCGACCCAACAAGTTGCTTGTACAATGGGGTAAAGTTTAAATTCATCTGGTATTGCTTACTTGATCTTCCCATAGATTTACATATGTCGATTAGAATCTGGTCAATTGTAGCCGTAAACATCAATCGAAAGATCCAAGTAAACAATATCAAAAGAATTCAAACTTCAACCTATTTCACAAGCAACTGGCAATCATGACTCTGTAGCTAAGTTGATAACACGATGAGCTTTGAAGTGAATACTACTGGGTTCGAGTCACAGAATGAACATGAACTCGGAGATTCAGCACATGCAGTTGACGAGTCCCAAATGGAACAAAAACGAGAGTCCTGGATTCCGTCACTAATCACTATCCATCTGTGCTTATAATGCATGTGACCTAAGACAATATCGAGGCACTCTTCACACAATGGACATATGTTAATAAGAGAGAGAATGATCAATTACAGTAGGAAACATCAATAGAAAAATTCAAGTAAACAATACGAAGTAAACTTTACTCATAAATTCAGTTGAGAAACTCTATTAACTTCATTCCCGGTAATATTTCCTTCATAAAGCAACACAAGAAGTATCATCCAATTGCGTTTACTAAAACGGAGTTTCAGTAGACTCGTCTATTTATGCATCCATTATCAAAATAAGAAATCTAGACTTATTAGTGTTTAAAACAGTTAAATTCTTGAGTGAATCTAAACTAGATCACCATTGAAAACATGAACGCGATAAATAGCCATTTCACCCTATTATAATACTCTTCAGTAGTACTCATCCATAATCCCAAACACGGGACTGGTTCCCAGGACCTTCCATCTTACATACAAATGTTTAACCTTTAGACGACTGATCTAACACAATCATAAATGTGTACAGTTGAAGATTTCAATATTATGATGAAACGACCATCTACTGCTTTTAGGATTTCAATGATGCATCTAATTCAGATCAACTCATCAATTCAACTACCCAAATTACTATCATCTTCATACTGATCCATGTTTCTTTTATTTTACAGATCACAATATTTGTCAGTTATATAACTATTGGCAAATTAAGATGTCTTATCTTTTATCCAAATTATTCATTAGCATCTATATTATTATATACTGTATTCTTTAATACCTTAGCAATTATGATTGATGTAATTAATATTTGCTCTCGACTACTATTTAATTTTCCATTTTAAATCAATAAGAGAAAATAACAATAAAACAAAAAACAAAAAAAGAGAAAAACAACGAAAAAAAGAGAAACTATTCGTCAGTTTGTTTGTTACATTGTTACATTGAACTTTCTTTTTCCAAACCTTTTAGATGAATGAAATTGATTTAGTAGTTGAAGATTTCTTGCAAATTAATTTTCAATTTCTATTAAGATTGTAAATGTTTAGTATCAAATTAAAGTAGTATGTGACTCGGAGTAGTATACATATACATAATCTCGTATGTGAGACTAGAATCAAAAACTTTTGGACTCGCAGACAGACGCTTAAACTGTAGATCATCGATACGGTATACAATGGTGTTAGTGTTTAACTTTAATTAATTCACGATATTACACGACCGTTCACTATTGTCGCCGGTGAGTACCTGCCCTGAAAACAAACATGGTTGAATTCCACTGGCCACATGTTTTCAGTTATTTATTTATTTCAACACATACATATTAGTACAATGGAGAACCAAATACACAGGGGCCTCACAAATCAGTTGATTTGTGTGTAGACTGTGATACTGTCCAACTTTCCAGACCGTAGCAAGTATTTTTCTTGGGAGGAAACACCTGGGGTTTTCGACCTAAAGATCTAATCTACATGGCGATGGAGCAACGATTGATTCCTACATCACTCGTTTGCTAAGAATCTTGGAATGAGAATTTTTCAACCTCCCTAGCTAGAATCTCCGTGTTCGCTAACTCGGGTAAATCGCCGGATATTCGCTTTTCATCCTCCAAATTTCGAAAATAACACCCCTGCCACGAGAAGGCAGAGAGTACAGCTTCTCTGACAAGGCTGTATGCGCGTGGCCATATGAGAGCATCCGGAGAGGGTAAGCTGACTCTCTACACCCCCAGCCGTACCAGGGAATTCGGGGACAAGTTCCCACTAGAAATCCAGGAAATACCCCATGAAAATCAGTCACTAATTAATGACTATATTATAAACTTATGAAATTTTGCCTAATCTAAGATGAGTTATAACATCATTGGAATAACATTAAAACGTATTTAATCAAAGATTAATCATTTGAAATAGATACATTTCAAGTGACCAGCGGAGTCAGAAAGAGCTGCTTACTCTTTATCCTTATCTTTTTTCTGGTGTTCGACTGGATTATGAAGACATCGACATTTGAGAAGAAAGGCGTGAAATACAATGGTCAACTCCGAACCGATTAGAAGATCTGGATTTTGTAATTAACTGATCTCCATCCCATACACATCAACAGATGCCGATAAAGACAACAAGTATATCAGCAGTCTTTGTATCAGTAGGCATCAACATAGACAAGGAAAAAAGCAAGATCCTCAAATACAGCACTGAGAACACTAACGTAATCACACTTAGTGAAGAAACTCTGGAAGACGTGGAAACATTTATGCATCTCGTAGCATCACTGATAAGCGTGAAGGATGTAATGCAGATACAAAGGCAAGGATTAGCAAAACAATAGCAGCATTTCCACAGTTGAAGAACATATGGTACCAAAAATAACTGTTTGCCAGCCAATATCAGAGTGAGAATACGGGCGTTAAGATAGTTCTACCGTACGGAGCTTAAACTTAGAGAACTACCACAACCATTATCAAAAACGTACAGGTATTTATAAACAACTCTCTACACAATAGGCTCAATATCCGTTGACCGGATACTACAGCAACAGCCGCCTACTGTGGGAGAGAACAAACCAGCTACCAGCTGAAGAGGAAATTAAGAAAACACGTCGGAAGTGGATAGGATACACAATGGGAAAATCATCAAACTGATTCATGAGGCAAGCACTAACTTGGAATCCTTAAGAGAAAATGCGAATAGTAAGGCCAAAGTACACACCACGTTAGGTAATCAGCATCAGACATGAAAAGATTAATAGTGACTGGAAACAACAAGAAAGAACAGCTTGGGACAAAATAGATGGAGAATGCTGTTGAGCGACCTATTCTCCTTTAAGATGGGTAAAAGGTGTTATGTGATAAGAAAGAATAATCAAATGTCTATATTTTAAAATAGATAAGATGTAACTCAGAGGTTCACATTCATATTACTCAGATACAGAACATAGAAAAATACCTTTGAGCTTTAACAAATTCCAATTATAAACAATGATTATTCTACTTAATGGAAATATTGAACATGATCTTTGTTCACAGTTCATAAATGTTTTTGTTACGATCAACAAGTAGCAAGCGTTAAACTGTTTATTGGTCATAGTTTGTGAATTCATTGTTGTCAAAAGTAAATGTTATATCCTGATGAGAAAAGTGGATAGTAACTGTTGGGATCCATTTATGGATCAATATAATACATGCACTTTTATTGTATAATTGTTAGGTGATTAGGTTATGCATATTCATGTTCCCCTTATTATAAATCCCTCTTGAGACCCTCTGGGGCTACTGCCGGTCCCAAGTCCGGGTAAAGGGGGAGGGTTGGATATGGAGTTAGCGACCGCATCCTGTAGGAGACTAACTCGCTATAAAAAAAGCCAACCAGAAAAAATAATTCAAACCATTTAAACTCTCTATTGGGAGTTAGAAAATCTTCATTTAGAAGAGTTATGATGTCTTATGATGAAAGCCGAATTCTTTCGGAAGTCACAAGGCTCATGCTTGTTCTGGAAACAAAGCAACCATTGATTTAGGCACATGGTATTCTCACGCACTGTGAGAGTTATTATTATAAGCTTTATTTTGACCTACGGTCTATCATTACACCATTTACCATTCTGAAGTTATGCCCTGTCAATTAATTACAGTCTACCACATTCACAGCCACTTTTGGCTAAATCTTGTACGAATGCTGTTTCCTATTATATGGCACGATGTGGTTTGTTTTGTTTGTATAGAAACTCTGTATATTTGAAATACATGATTCGTATCACGAAGGTTGGGATTTGTGCTCTGGAATTAACAGACAGGCAGAGCCAGGCAGAAAGCAGGACCCATAAGTACTCTAGACTGCTCGTACCGGTTTATGCGTCATTGGTACCGTCGATAATTCACTATTTTTTAATTGACGGTTTCATAACGTTATACATTAATGGAAGCACAATTCCATGAATTATAACAGTACATTCATTATCATGAGTATAAAGCCCATCTAGCTGTTCTTATGATATACATGTTTCCACTTTCTTTATGTATAATTTGATATATACATTTGAAAGTGACATATAATGAATAAATGTTCCACCCTAAGCATGACACATGCTGTATGCTCTGTAGTTACTGCTTGTTGCGAAATTTAAAAAAAATTAAGCAAAGATATTGGCTAGTAGTGAAACACGGGTTGACGCGTATTTTCTCCGATCCGGAACTCATCAACGGGATGTACCTCAACCCCAGAGTTGATGTTCATTCTGTGACTCGAATAGCAGTACCGTTCGTTTCAAACTCCATTGCGTTATCCATTTAGCTACCGAGTGCTGATGGCCAATTGCTTGTGCAATGGAGTGAAGTTTAAATTCAATTGATATGGTTGTAATATTAAAAAGATTAGGATTAAATTTCTACGATGGTTTCAAACTTGAAGAGAGTCAAATTCATGCCATGTACAGTCTCACTATATTTAAAAACCAATAATCATATGTACGTCAATGACACTTTATGTCAGTTCAAGAAAGTTCTGTTGGTGTACTGTACTACAATAACCAGTGACTTATGCTTCACTGACAAAAACGGAAGCAGAAGTACAGTGTTTATACAAAAAGTGATACCGCATTTTACCGATGATGTATTCGCACAACAGAAGTTTATGTCGAGTAGAAGTAATAGAGTTGATGTCTCAAGTGTTACTAATTAGAACTGTCCAATACGCACACTTGTAGACGTTTTGCTATTACCGACAGTTTATAAGCTTCTGTTTGAGTTCTGAAATAAAAGTTTATTCCGAAAATAATCGTTAACCACATTTCGGTTTAATTCTGACAGAAGATTTGTATTCCATACAGACACTATATCAGAAATTCTAAGTGTTTATTTCACTACTAAGATGATTTGACATATATGAGATGTTTACTGCAGGTAAAGTAAAGTGCAGTTTCATGACTGTATTACGATATGATCATTAGACTATCGGCAAACGTCACAAACTGAGATGTGACGTTTCATAGAGTGATTTAGTACATGAAATGTAAGTGCTCAGAGTGCTCAGGGATAAAGGCAGTCATTCGTTAGACCTTAAAAACCTGTATACATAGTTAGTAGCTCATGTTTGTGGAACGTGTGATGATGTCACGAGAAGAGTTGTGCAGTGATTTCTCTCCCAGTACCTCGGTATTGTGGTCTCATTTATAGTTTGCTTGCAATAACCGTTGGTTTTATTTGATCGATCGTTTGGCACATTGATCCTGTTGACCTTCTTTAACTACACTGAAGTTCAGCAAATGTTTTATTCATAAATTTATCATAATTAGATGAAAAGAACGTTTTAGGGCAAATGAAGTCAAGTATTTTTTTCTCATCGTACACTAGATGTACCTGCATCACAGAGTTAATATTACGCACAGTATGCACATATGCCAACAAGAGAGAAACGAATCAACTACAGTCCTAAACAACAATGGTAAGATTCAAGTAAACAATGACAAGTAAATCTAAATTTCAGCTCATTGCACTGGCTTGTGAATATCAGGACTTGGTGTAAGAGGATAACAGTATGGCGTTTGAAGTAAACGGTGGTGGATTTCAGTCTTAGAGTGGATATCAACTCTGAGATTCAAGTACATCCAGTTGACGAGTTCCATATAGGATGAAAATCACTTCCTGGGTTCTACCACTAGCTACTATCCATCTTTACTTATGATCCCTGTAACTTAAGACAATATAGAGGCTATTCGTACAAGATATACACATGCCAATAAGAGAGAAAGTGATCCATCACAGTCCGAAACATCAATGAGGAGATTCAAGTAAACAGCAATATCAAGTGTGTTTAATACAATATACTTCATTACTGCATTTGTGCAA